TTTACCTGCTAGTCAATAATTGTCATGGACTCTTGTCGAATATTGTTGCCAGGAGCTACTTGGTTTGAGCCTTGTTGTCAGAAGTTATTTCATTTGGAGTCAATATAGTGCGGCCTATTTTCGCCGGTAGGCATTTAGTGGCAGGCCTTTTTGTCGGGGATGATGTGCTGAGGTTGTTTAACACCGCTTAGGACAACAGGCATGCAATAGTTATCATCATTCGTTATGAACAAATGTATGCCTGAAAATGAACGCTTTATGTTCCTCATTTTCATTGAGCACAGCTTTATAGAAGATTCCAAAATAGACGTCACACATCCCCCCCCCGACCACCCTGCGTAAGTTGACGTCACATTAGCATAGCATCGTTTATGGACAACCCCATATAAATAATATAACTCATTTTGGGTATTTGGTATCAACATTTTGACAACAAAGGTTATTCAAAATGTATATAGGACTTGACATCTACCATAAATGACATCGCACACTTAAGGGGTGGAGTCAGAGCCGGCGTTAGGGGGTGGCGAACGGGGCGGTCGCCATAGGCCCCGCGCTTGAAGGGGCCCCGCGCTTCAGCAATGTCATTGTTATCTTCGTAATTCAATGGGGAAAAACTAAATGGTCGAATGCCGAAGTTGTTGATTGTTATAACTGAGGCCACGGTTGATGTTGGTTAGTCCCACCTGAACTGGGACAGGCCGTAATTTGATACAAAAACAGTGTCACACACCTCCCCTTTGTGTAGGGTACGGTCGCCTGGCATTTGACCTGAGCTGACTGGAGATGGCGGTCGAGAATTAGCCCACGACGTAAAGAGATACCCTATTGTATGCGGACCCATGAAGACGTCCTTTTAGTGAGCAGACGGGATGTCTGTAGTAGACAGTTAGTGACCTGATGAACTCTAGTCCTGACTTTCTTGTTGTAGATGTCGTATAATGTCGTATATGTACAGTGTTTCTTCCAGACTTTTTTCTCCGGGGGGGGGGGGGGGGAGAGGCACTTGAAATTTTCGGGGGGGGGGCGGTAGATTTTCTTCGGGGGGGGGGGGGAGGGGGGCGGACACTGTTAAAAGTATATATTTTCAATATAAATTATATAAATTTCATTTCGTTTTCTGGGGGGGGGGGGGGGCTTGCCACCCCACCCCCCGCCCGAAGAGATGCCTGGAAGAAACTCTATATGTAGGCCTATTTGTCTTGGTTAACAAAATTAACATTCAGTTGCGTGCAGAGGGGTGGGAGGAGGGCGACAAGGGGGGGGGGGGGCTTAGGATCTATATCAGGTGGCATTAAACATAGTGATTTATTATTATTTTTTGGAAGAAAGTTAAAACTGTTGTTATGTTGTGTCACCTTAAGGATTCACCCGTTCAATAATTAATACAATAATGTTTTTGGTTTTAAAATATTGTATGAATTCTAAACAAATTTTGAAGTCTATACTGTTTTGATACATCAGGCCGAGTTCGCTGTATTGTAAACTTTATTTTCCTAATTATTCGGCACGTGATTAAATGTTCTTAAGTGATTTGGTATGAATTACATAACTGTCAAAAGTTATTCAATATCTTAGCAAATGAAAAAAAAACTACGAAAATTGGGTTAATACATGGGAGAGATAAAAATCTGTTATTATAGTGGAAAGTTTGACATTAGCTTATAAACTCCAAAACATTTGTGTTATTATGTGTACATCACATTATATAGGCCTTTATACACACACACACATATATATATATATATATATATATATATATATATATATATACATACATAAAATGGAAAGGCCCCGCGAGGATGGTTGGCCCTAGGCCCCGCGTATTCCTAACGCCGGCTCTGGGTGGAGTAACTGGTTTTGAGACGACGTTTTACGCGGGAAGTGGGAGGGGTAAGAAACGTGAGACGTTAAGTATTTCGCCTAATACAAAAATGCTGAAAATATATTTTTCATTAGAATTATGGCTTGACTTTTTAATAGACAGGGCAAAAAGGTTATTTTCGACATTACGACTATTTCGTGACGGCGAAAATGGGGGGTGGGGGGGGGGGGGGGGGGGGGTTAAGGTAAGAGAGGTCAAAAAAAGGGACGTCATTTATGATTAAATCACTAATTAAAGGAAAAAAGCATGAACATATTAAATGAAAATAGCAAACAAACAATTACACAAACAATAAGAATTAACTCAAACTAATATTTAAATAAACATTAGATATGTAGTGGTAGCTCTATTAAAAAAAGGGAGTATCTTAATGTATAAAAATTGCATCTCATAATAATAATTCTAGAACAGATGTTTATTGTCAGTCAATTAAATTGTTTAAAGGGCAGAATTAAAAAAAAAAACGCATGCTTTGTATTTAAACACAAGACTAACGTATTTAATAGCAAACATCAATACAGTTCCATACAAATAGAAATTAAAGGGAAATGACTCAAAATAATATTTTCTTAAGATGGCCGCTGTTTTTAATAGCAAATTTAGTATCTGGAACATCGCTGTTAAACCTTAATTTCATGACATTTTTATTGATTTAACCCTTAAATGTGGTTTAATATTCAATTATCTTTAGTATTTAAGTAGAATATGCAAACATTTATTCATATTTAAGCCATATTTATAGAGTCCTTTCATATGACGTCACGTCCGTTCGTGATACCTACGCCCGCCTCCACAGTGGTGTACACAAGACGTAAACACAATCAGCTGTTCGCCAGCGCTGGACGTGTTCACCAGCGCTGGACGCGTTCACTGTATGTAAAGAACCGCACCCGCGGAAAAGGACAAATACGTTAAAAAACTTGAACTCTTAGAAATTGAAGATCCTTATACTGTTATTGACAGTTTCGTATAAATAAATATGTGGACAAAATTTCTAAATAAAAATACTGTTAGGAATACTGTTTGCGTTTAGAGTTAAAGTAGCCGAATCTGATCAAATGCAGTTCTCGATACTTTGTTTCAGGTAAGGACAGTAAAATAATAAACTTCATTTTAGTTATAAAAGATAACTATTAATAATTAATAAAACAAATATGCTCGACCTTCACAAATACTAATATATAGTAAAAGACAAAGTCAAAAGTAATAGGCTAATAAGAATAATAAGATCTAATAGTAGGCCTAATACCTGGCTCCGCTGGGTAGACATAGAATATAGAATCTACTTCTTTACTTAAATTTAATTACTTTAGATCTACATTCGATTCAAAATACACCCATAATAAATCAAAAGTAGTCATAATAGGCCTAATAAAGCATTTAATTGTCTCTAAGATCTAAAATCTCGCTCTATTAGTATTATCTAATCATTTTTTTAGCAAACGAAATTTTCTGAAATTGAAATAGATTATATGACTAGACTTAGATCTAGAATCTGCTACTTAAATTAAATTGTAAAAACTTTATACAAGCATGTAGTTAATATTATTGTAGTAGAAGGCTTTAATAAATTACTAAGGCCTACCTACTTTGTTGTCTTTTTACAGCAATATGTATCTGATACTGGACTGAGTTTAATTAAATTCAAATCTAGTAATTGGTCTACTAAGTTTTTGTAGCCTAGTAGTACAATCTAGATTCTAGATCATACCAGCCAACAACAAATAACCACATTTTTATTATTTGGTTAATGATTAGGCTAATTTTTTTTTTAAATCCACTGTTTATAAAAGAAACAAATCAAGCTAGAAACATTATAAGTGAGATGGTTTAGAATAATAACAATGGACCCAGTCTACAATTGATACAATTGCAGGTCTACTTAGGGCCTACAGTCTAGTAGTTTACAGTAGGCACCTAGTGTGTAGCTAGTATACTAGTGTGTAGCTGTCCAGAGTTAAGATTCTTAATGCCTTAATGCTTTCCCCTGATAAGCCGTGTGTGCTATAAATGACATAACATGACACCGAGGTGAGAAGTGTTGAGGGGAGAGCAGTGGGACTTTCCCCTTTGTTCTCCCTGCTGGGCCCTGAGGGTCAAAATTATATAAGAAATACTATCTCTGTGGGGCTGGGTATCACGGAGGTGAGACATTTTCAGGGGAGGGCAAGGCAGACTCCTCTTTGGTTTTATTGTGGGCTAGATACAGGTGGGGGCAGCCATCGTGAGGGTTGAACGTCAGTATTAATGTGTCTGATCACTTCCCTGCTGGATTATAAGGGTCTTAAATTGTATAACATGCTACCCAGATTGGTTATTACCCATGGATTATATTAGTCGTTGTAGTGTGGGTTTTGTAGGAGTTAAGTGGTCTCACGTTTGCTACAGTAGATAACCTCTAATATATTACTGCATTTGATCAGATTCGTCTACTTAAACTCTAAACGCAAACGGTATTACTAACAGTATTTTTATTTAGAAATTTCGGCCACATATTTATATTATCCACGAAACTGTCAATAACTGTATAAGGATCTTCAATTCCTAAGAGTTCAAGTTTTTTAACGTATTTTTCCTTTTCCGCGGTCGCGATTCTTTACATACGGTGAACACGTCCAGCGCTGGTGAACACGTCCAGCGCTGGCGAACAGCTGATTGTGTTTACGTCTGATGTACACCACTGTGGCGGCAGGCGTAGGTATCACGTGATTTAGGTCACGTGTTTGCAAGGACTCTATTAGTTACCTTATCCCTACATTACTAGTGACGGCCGAATTGATTACGCTAAAACGATAGATTACCTAATGTTTGTATAACTAAATCTTAACAATTCTATTGGCTGGTCCCAATAAACAATAAATGAATAATTATAATATATAATACTCAGATTCAGACAGATTCAATAGCGGCCGTGGCTATTGTAATTGTGACCCGGGTCCGAATAGATAATCATAATCTATTCTAGATCTAGATTCTAGGTAGATGCATCCTAAAACTAAATTCATGATCTAGATCTAGATCTAGAACTAATATCTAATATCTAGATCTAGATTCTTGATCTGGACTCTCTTCTAGATTTAAAAAAAAAATTATTTAATATTTAGCCTTAGCTTACCTGTTGGCACTCAGGATGTTAAGTTTTGTTTAGTTTGGAAGTTTAGTTTTAGTGCATGACTGACACTGATTTCGACATAGAATCGAATCGTCACAAAATGCCTTCACTGCGCATGTTATTTCGACACAATAAAACCTAGATCTAGTCTCTGGATTCTATATTAGATTCTAGATATAGAAATCTAGATCTAGCTCTAGATCTAGATCTAATGCACATCTAGAACGTCAAGTCTATTTTCTACAGTATAGACTTTTAAGTGTTAGTATTCCGCGTGTAAAACAGAAGATTAGTAGCCTTCCCCCCCCCCCCCCGAACGAAATGGAATTTATATAGAAAACATATACTTTTACCAGTGTCCGCCCCCCCCCCCCCCCCCCCGAAAATATCAAGTGCCCCCCCCCCCCCTCCCTCCCCCTCGAGAAAACAAAGTCTGGAAGAAATACTGCCGACTTTGCTTTTTACTTTCTCGTATATACGAAGTATAGAGAAAGTATTGTAATCGTGCACAAAAATCACTTGAAATTTAAACAATTTTCACCGTATTACATCTCAGTCCTTCATCACATCCGAAGTATAGAGGACTTATTTTAATCAGGCAAAAATTATCAATCCAGATTTATCAAAATTAAGAGGCTTTATGCGTAATCCAGTCTGAAAAACTGGGCTTTGCAATTCTGTCCGTATGTCTGTGTGTCTGTGTGTGTGTGTGTGTGTCCGTGTGTAAACACGATAACTTGAGTACCGTTACAGCTAGGTTGATGAAATTTCATATATAAGTATTTTATCAAAATCGTAGATCCGTATCAACTTTTGATCGATTTCCGATAACCGGAAGTGGTACTTTTCCTACTTTGAATTTTTCAAAAGCCTATAACTTGAGTACTATTTCAGATAGATAAATGAAATTTCACATGTAAGTAAGAAATCTAATTCTCTTCGTTCTGTCAAATTTTGAGTAATTTCCGTTGACGGGAAGTACTAATTTACGCTATTTCCGATTTCTCAAAAACGAATCTAAATTTATAAAGTACTAATAATATTGCGCACCATTATGAACATCTTTATTCGGCGTTCGCTTGGTGTGCAATACTTTTTTCTATGAGATTCTATTTTATTTTAAAAAGTTTAAGTATTTAAAATGGATTAAAAATCATAACTATATCCCGAGTTCCCATCCCCTGTTGTTTTATTTAAGAATATTCGAGAAAGTTTAGGGGAGATCACTCCCGGTTTATTTCATTTAAGGGTCGTCCACAAATGACGTCATGACGTCACACTCATAGGGGAAGGGGGTCCGTAATTTTGTGACGATGTGTAATGAGGAGGAGGGGGTCAGATGGTGCGTCACACTTGTGCATTATAAAAAAGCAATGTTAGAAAACGAATTTTAGAAGTTATTTCGCGATTTAGAAAACTGTTTTAATAAATTGTAATAGGAATTGATTAAAAGACTCTATTTTGACAGAGTTCAGACTTCTTCTTCTTCTTCTTTCTTAATTTTTAGTGTTTGAGGGGATCGAGCCTTATCTGCCAGAAGGTTTGAAATCGAGACTTGTTCGCATTTATCAACCATTAGCTTTGGCCGACTCGACCATCACAATTAAGGATACGTGTCAACTGGTTATGCGCCATTGAGGCCATTGACTCCGATTTCAGCCTGCTTTTCTTTTTGGATTTGCTTCCTGTGCTTCCATAGCCTTTGTCCAACCAAGAACAAGCTACAAGGCAGCAGTTGTTTGATTTTGGAGTTGTCTCTCCTAGAAGAGCTGCTGCCCCCAGCTAACGAGCCTAATCTGCCCGAGGGTTCGAACCAGTGTTTCTTCCAGACTTTTTTCTCCGGGGGGGGGGGGGAGCACTTGAAATTTTCGGGGGGGGGGGGGGGGGGTAGACTTTCATCGGGGGGGGGGGGGGGGGGCGGACACTGTTAAAAGTATATATTTTCTATATAAATTATATAAATTTCATTTCGTTCGGGGGGGGGGGGGGGCTTTTTAAACATATCGATGTTTTAAAAAAAATTCAACTGCAATTGTCAGGGGGGGGGGGGTTGTAGGCTGAGGTGTGACGTCGTTTTAGAGGGTGGGGGGAGATCTGGCTTTTTGTGACGATGTGTGACGGAGGGGAGGGGGGAGATAAAAATCGTCCAAAAAGCGTGACGTCATTTATGGATGACCAATTAGCTTTTTATAGATATCCAGAATCTAGTTTTTTTTTGTTTGTTTTTAATTTAAAATTTAGATCTAGATCTTGATGTAAAGATAAGACTCCAAGGTTGTCACATGTCGATGATTCATAAAAGACACATGGCTTGGGCATTAGGCAGTAAAACTTGCTGTACCATCTTTAAAAAAAAAAACTATCTCTATTTGTAGCTGCTTACTTATGTATGAAGTATAGATCTTCTTGCTCTATAAATAATAGCTCTGTTGGATATCTGAGATGTGCTGATTTAGAGCCAGAGGCTACACAAAATTCAAAATTAAACTTATGCTTAAATACACATTGTATGTTTATCTGGATTTAGGTATTATATTTACAGTACGTATTACATTAGACTACATTTCTTTTACAGTTTACTAACTACAGAATCACATTCATGAATTAGGGTGGGCTTAATTTGAATTAGGGAAATGTCTTGAGCTAATTCATAATGTATTATATGAAGGTGAAAAGGGCGAAATAATAAATCTGATAAAAACTAGACCTAGCTTTTTAAACTTCTTTATCTTGACAACGGAAATAAATACCTTATTATTATTACTAAACAAACCAATTATTTTATCGCATTCATTAAATAAATCATTTGTGCTATAGTAAAATCAAACACGTAGAATCTAGTCTTTATTCTCCAATGTGTAAGAGAAAAGTGAGTTAGAAGCATTCAAGACTTTTCTAATTAAAGACCAATATAAAAATACTAAAATACTTTTGTAGCCTAAAATATTAAATAATAGTTTAATAGTAGGGCCTAATAATAAATATATATATTAATAATAATATTAAAATATGCCTATAAAATAATAAATAAATAAAGTTACTACTAGTATTACTATAGCCTGATAGGCCTAAACTGCCCTTACCACTAGGCCTAGCTTTTAGCTAGGGCCTATACTATACTTTTAAACTTTTATCGTTAGCACATAAAGTTGAATAAGACTAATAATAGTTATAATATTGAAATAAAAAGGGCAATGCAAAAGCATTGAAAGGCAAAAGTGCATAGGCCCTACCACATTAAATAAAAATTAGTTATTTAAATTAACTGGGCCTTTAAATAAAAATTATTTATTTAAATTAACTGGGTCTTATTAATATTATAATTAGATCTATATCATTGTCATTAGTCACTTCCCTTGTTTTATATTTTGTTTAATGAAGTCATTCAAACAGAATACTCTGAAAATACAGAATTACAGATGGACCTTATCTCCCTCCAACTTATGTGTCTCTTGGGTATAAACGAGAAAATATATAGGCCCATATATTATTAAATATATTAATATTATAAAATAGGAATATAAATATAAAGATATATATATATATATATATATATATATATATATATATATATATATATATATATATATATATATATATATATATAGTTGAATCCAGTCAAATATAGAAAACAAATCTTAAAAATTAATAAATGTCTATGTAATAGATTGAGTTAATTGTGAGGTCAAGGGGAACTCACTCTCTGTATTAGTATTATATTTATATTGTTATCTTGAGTGATGTCCCTTACATGTTGTTATCTATAAATAGTTCTCTCTCGCCATTTCTCTCTCTCTCTTTGCATGATGGCGTCTGTACATAATAAAGACTGTTAACAACCAACGCGGCTTCTCGTCAGTCGTTACAATCCACTTCATTTGGCGACGAAGGATAAACATCTACTAGAAAGAGCACCTACTTACGCAAAAAAGAGGTTTGCTAGAGCTTATTAGCTAATTATTTCTAGAATTATGGCGCTGTATGGCCAAATAAAAGAATTTGATGCGAATGATGAAATCATTCAAGATTACCTAGAGAGGTTAAGCTTTTACCTAGAAGCTAACGACGTGACGATAGAAGCCAAAAAGAGAGCTGTTTTGTTAACAGTCATAGGGCCTCAACAATTTAGGCTACTAAAGGACTTATGCGCACCAGCTAGTCCAGATACCAAGAGCTTTAACGAGCTGAGCAAATTGCTAACAGACCACCATGCGCCTACCCCATCAAAGTTTCTATGTCGAGCTAGATTTGACAGTAGGACTCGTCAACCAAACGAGTCAATAACAGAATATGTTGCTGCTTTACGTCATTTAAGTGAATTTTGTGAATTCGGAGAAACGCTGTCTGACAGATTATGTGAAAAGTTTGTGACAGGTGTAAACAGCCCTGATATTCAAAGAAAGTTGCTGCTCGAGTCAGATCTAAAATTGGAAAAAGCAATACAACTTGCAACTTCATACCAGCAGTCATCAGATGCGGCGAAATCTCTAACGCCTTCAGGGATCCATGCAGTAAACAGCAGGTTAGTCAATAAACATCAACCCCATCAGAGCATTCCAACTTATGCTAAACAGCCTGCTCGTTCAAATCCTAGATCTAAATCTAGTAATAATTATCAAAAATGTCATCGATGCAATGGTCCCCATGCATCTCATCGGTGCAAGTTCAAATCAGCAACTTGTTATAAGTGCAGTAAGCAAGGTCACATTGCCAAGGCCTGCTTTGCAAAGTCTTCGTCTGTTGCTAAATCTAGCCAGTCAAGACAGTACCGCAACCAAAGGCAGCACTATGTTAACTCTCACCAAGACTACCTAACCCAACCAATGAACCACTCTACCTGTGAAAATGCTCAAATTGATTTGCAGCCGGATTTCAACCTGTTCTCTGTTAAATCAATAAGTCATGCTCCCATCAATGTACAAGTTAATATCAACGGTAAGAGCATCAGCTTCCAACTTGACACTGGAGCATCTCTAACAGTCATAACAAAGAAAGATTTTGACGCTGTCACAGGAGGATCAGTGTCTCTACAGCCGTGTCACAAGTGTCTAACAACATACACTGGTGACAATGTTCCGGTAATAGGAGAGTGTATGGTTCATGTAAGTTATAATGGTCAAAGTGTTAAACTTCCTCTTCTTGTGGTTGAAGGAAATGGACCGCCATTACTAGGTAGGAACTGGTTAAGTGATCTTAAGTTAAATTGGGAGAGTATTTGTTCATTGAAGAATGTAAAAGAATCTAGTCTTACTTCACTAGATAAAGTTATATCTGAAAATAAATGTGTTTTTGGTAATTCAGGTTTACTAAATGATAGAACAGTGAAGTTAAGCATTAAAGATACAAATCCAAGATACTGCAAAGCTAGAGTTCCACCTTATGCAATGAGGAATAAAATTGAAAATGAGCTAAGTAGATTGGAATCTAATGGCATTATAAAGAAGGTAGACTATTCCGATTGGGCGACACCCATTGTGCCAGTGTTAAAGAAGGATGGTTCTATAAGAATTTGTGGAGATTATAAAACTACACTGAATAAGCAAATAGAGCTAAATAGGTACCCTATACCTAACATTGAGGAAATTTCTTTGAATTTGGCAGGAGGAGACAAATTCACTGAATTAGACCTTAGTCATGCTTACACTCAACTAGAACTGCATCCAGATTCAAAAGTCTATACGACAATAAACACACATAAAGGACTCTACCAATATGAAAGACTATGTTTTGGCATATCATCTAGCCCTGGAATTTTCCAAGCTGTCATGGACAGTATTTTTAAGGATATTCCAAATGTTTGTGTGTACTTTGACAATGTGTACATAACTGGTAAGAATGACACTGAACATCTTAAAACACTTGATAAAGTATTGAAAATTGTTGGTGAAAAAGGTTTAAAGATAAACAAAGATAAATGTCAATTCATGTTGACAGAAATTAGTTTTCTTGGTTATATATTAAGCAAGCAAGGCATCAGACCTCAACCTGAGAAAACAAAAGCCATTAAAGAAGCACCCAAACCTGAAAATACCCAACAACTAAGAGCTTTTTTGGGCTTGATAAATTACTATGCAAAGTTCATAGGGAATCTGTCTGGTAAACTATCACCACTGTACAAGCTGCTACAGAAAAATGCAACTTGGCACTGGAGTAAACAACAAGAAGCTGCTTTTAATACAGCAAAAGAGGCTTCTGACACCTTACTAACTCACTATGACCCAGGGAAAAGACTTGTATTAACATGTGATGCTTCACCAGATGGTGTAGGAGCAGTCTTGTCCCACATGGATGAGAAGGGTGACAGACCCATTGCTTTTGCCAGTAGATCTTTGAATCAGGCTGAGAAAAATTATTCTCAGTTAGATAGGGAAGGCTTAGGCATCATTTTTGGTGTTAAGAAATTTCATAAGTTTCTGTTTGGTAGGAAGTTCACCATCTTTACAGATCATAAACCATTGCTAGGTTTATTTGGAGAAAACAAAACCCTACCTGAGCATGCCTCACCAAGAATTCAAAGATGGGCTATCACACTAACTGCATACAATTATGAATTGAAATACAAACCTGGATCTGAGAATAGTGCAGATAGTCTTAGTAGATTACCTTTAAAAAACCAAAGCCTGAGCTATGTACCAGAAGATGTATTTGTTCTCTTCACTATCATGGATAACTCCAATATAAATGTGAATGATATTAAAAGAGAAACACAAAAAGATGAGTGCTTAATAAAAGTATATGAGTACTGTAAGAATGGTTGGCCTGAAAAGTCTGTGAATGATGACTTAAGGCCATATAAAATAGGAAATTAAAACCTTTGTGAAGATAATATAAAAGATGGAGAAGATGCAGTCCATTATCAGTCAGAGTTGCCTAAACAAAGTATTTGTAACTTAATAAATGATTATGGTGATATGGCAATTTCAAATGTTTTAAAGAAAATACATTAGTAAGAAGGAATGTGATCATCAAACAACTTTGCTAACATCATTAGCACTTACAGAAACTAAAAGGGTAACATCAAAAGAAAAGAAAAAAGATTTTTGCCATTTAATACACCCACTTCAAATACTGGATCACAGTTGCAAAGTGATATGGTCCAGAATATTACTCATAAACAGTATTTTTGGTTACCAGGAAAGCACTATCAGATTACCTGAGAAAATTGATCAATCAAAGAAATCTATGTCAATTAAGGATCTGAATAATAGCATAATACTTTCAGATGCCAATTCAAAAATAGTTCCATTAAATCATGACAAAACATTCATTGAAAGAGAATTTGGTGTTAATAAGAATGTGTATCTAAGAAATTATGGGAGAAAGGAAAAATGGATACCAGGTCAAATTGTTCAATGTACAGGACCTGTGTCTTATAAAGTTAAAAATAACTTGTGCAGATAATAAGTGTGAATCTGTCAATCCCACCAAATCTGAACAGTTCACACCAAATCAGTTTGTTCCACAACCAAGTTCTGTTGATATGAGTGAACCAAGTTGTCTGGAGTCAGAAAATGTAAATTCTGGAGTTAATGATTTAAATCCTAGACCTCCTGAGATAGAGAATCCAGATGGTCAGAATCTTGAGTCACCAAATCAAAAGCTACTGAGAAGGTCAAGCAGGACAATCAAAGTCCCAAATAAGTTAGACCTATGATTCTAAAGGTCAAAAGGACTTTGACATTATTGTTTTGTATTTTGATTATGTTGTAGCATATTGTGCATTGTTTGTAAGGATGTAATCTACCATAGTGTTCATGTTACAATATAATTGGTGATTTTAGGATACTATCAATTGTTCTATTGAGAGATGTGTTATTGTGTTCTAAGGGTAAAGGGATGTAATAGATTGAGTTAATTGTGAGGTCAAGGGGAACTCACTCTCTGTATTAGTATTATATTTATATTGTTATCTTGAGTGATGTCCCTTACATGTTGTTATCTATAAATAGTTCTCTCTCGCCATTTCTCTCTCTCTCTTTGCATGATGGCGTCTGTATATAATAAAGGCTGTTAACAACCAACGCGGCTTCTCGTCAGTCATTACAATCCACTTCAGTCTATTGTATATTTAGGGATCTTCCATAAATGACGTCACACTATAGGGGGGAGGGGGGCCATAATTTTGTGATGGTGTGTGATGAGGGGGAGGGGGGATGCGCAGAAGGTGTGACGTCACACTTTTGCTTTATAAAAAAGCAATGTTAGAAAACCAGTTTTAGCTGTTATTATGTGTTTTAGAAAACTATTTTAATTAATTGTAATAGGAATTGATCGAAATACTCTGACAAGATTTTGGAAAAATATCGATGTTTTAAGAAAAATTCAACAGCAATTTTGAGGGGGGGTTGTAGGCTGAGGTGTGACGTCATTTTAGTGGGGGGGGGGGTCTGAGTTTTTGTGTCGGAGGTGGAGGTGGGGGAAATTGTCAAAAAAAAGCACGATGTAATTTAATGATGACAACTTATACTTATTTTTATTAATAAATATTGCTTATGAATCTTTTAGAAAAGAAAATTTATAGATGAATAGATTAAGATTTCATTTTGGTTTATATTTATTTTTATTAATAATATTAATTATTATTTCACAAGATGATTAATCTTTTTTTTTAGAAATGAAAAATTTGAAGATGAATAGACCAAGTTACTAGTAAAAGGATTCTATTCATTCTTGATTTTAAAAAAAGACAACAATAAACTACATGGAGTCATATTCAACTTTAAAAACCAAGACTACTAAACAGGAAAATGAAAATGGTATGTTTTGCTTAAGTTTCTTAACACTGTATTTACGTCTTATTAATTGCAGTTTGATTTTGAGTCAAATCAAAAACACAAGTCAGGTACACATCAGGTGGACTCCAGAATGTCATAAAAACTTTAGGATTGTAATGTCGTGCTCGTCCATGCTGTCCTATTAATAGGTATTATATAAATCTCAGAAGACATTTCACGATCAAGTATTAGAGTGTTAGATTAAGGTCAGATAAATAGATGTCGAGAAGCACTGACCTGCTTTTTCTATATATTTTGATTAAATTTTTGAACAACAAACACTCCTATTTAATGGGTTCCTAATGAGGTAAAATTCTCTTTAAATTAATTAATTCATTTAACTTTGTATCATTTTGTAGTGAGTGACATCTTCATAACTGCAACAGAACATGGAGATGAAGCAACAGTAGAGAAACTATTAAAAGAGCTAAAAGACTCTGTCAATTTAAAATCAACTCGAGGGGGCTTTACAACATGTGCCTTATCAGTTGCTGCAACTTATGGCCAAACACACATTCTTGCTGAACTTTTGCAGGTTTGTGCAGACCCATCAACAAGGAATTTTTTTTGTACTGTAGCTTGTAGCTATGTCTCATTTTTAACTAGACATCATTTCAGTTTAGCCTCTGTATTATAAAAATAATATCTTTATATACATGTGTATAGGTATTATAATATTAATTTGTAGTTATAGTTATTTTAAAATGCCACAATATTGAAATTAAAGTGTTGTTGTATGTTTCTCTTGTTAAATACTTTTATTAATATATTTTTAGAATGGAGCTAACCCTTTAGAAAAAGGTGCGAGAAACAGAGTTGCTCTTCATGATGCATGTATAGGAGGTCACTTAGAATGTGCTCGCCAGCTTATTCAAATGATGCCTGATATAGATATTCCAGATAGTAATGGTCAAACTGCTGCTCATCATGCTGCCTTCAATGGGGAAATCAAAGTTCTTAAACTTCTTCAAGAAAATGGTATATAATAATGAGAACTTGACATTTAGGCCTGGTACATAGTTATGACAACTTCACAGTTAGGCCTTTATTGAAATTTAGCTTTTAAGTTTTTTAATATGTAACATAAAAATTGAAGTTGCATTTGAATGAAATTGATTTGTATAATATTAGATTAAAATTGTATAGCAATAACTTCAGCTATGTCAGTTATTGATAGGGGCAAGTATGACAGCAGTGGATAACAAAGGGAGACAACCATCACATCTGGCAGCTAGCAGGAATCAAGTCAGCATTCTAAAATTCTTGTTTGACATTGGTTTGAATTTAGACATTCCATGCCACACAGGAAAGACTGTCCTTCATTATGCTGCACAACACGGAGGTTAGATAATATTTTAGGTTTGATTCTAGTGTATTTTTACACACCTCTTTCAATTGAAGATTTTAAAAATGTAGTTTAAAACAATACTGTACATATTATTACCACTGGATACAGATAAAAGTTTTTGGACACCTATTCGTGATGTCCAGAAGAAAATATAATTCTCCCCACTCCTGTTGTGGAGAGTCACACTAAATAAGATTCTCTTAAAATTTGTCATTTGCTTAAGTCACAGGATCACAAAAATATGCCTCATCTATTTGATTACCACTTATTTTAATTTTCTTCATAGCTAATTTTCCAAAAGACACAAATTTTATAGATGCAGACTCTGTGATCTCATTTCTTGCTTTTAGTAAACTAAAACAATTATAAATTGTAACCCTCCCCTCTTCCACCAAGTGTAGACATTAAATGTTTGTTTTCTGTATGATAAAGTATTTATAATATTTGAAATAAGTTGAACTAATAAATCTTTTTTAAATTAATGTTATAGTTTGTCTTGTTTAAGATGTTATTTATTATATAGTTTTGTGTTGCAGGCCTTGATTGTGTAAGGTTTCTAGTTGAAAGAAACTGTGATACGACTGTCGGGGATAAATTTTCCTTCCTGGCAACCCACCTTGCTGCACATTACAACAGGTTGAGTTGTCTGCAGTACCTGGTACAACAAGGAACATCCATAGACACAACACAGCAAGATGGTAGAGCCTGCACACATATTGTAAGTAACAAGGAACATCCATAGACACAACACAGCAAGATGGTAGAGCCTGCACACATATTGTAAGTAACAAGGAACATCCATAGACACAACACAGCAAGATGGTAGAGCCTGCACACATATTGTAAGTAACAAGGAACATCCATAGACACAACACAGCAAGATGGTAGAGCCTGCACACATATTGTAAGTAACAAGGAACATCCATAGACACAACACAGCAAGATGGTAGAGCATGCACACATATTGTAAGTAACAAATGCAGAGAGGCAACTGAGCACCAAAATTAATAGAAATTTGTCTCAAAGTGAAAAAAATAACAACAGCAAAGCTGCATCTCCGTTAATGTTTTATTAAAAATCCTGAAGTAGACAAGTAATGAAATATTCTATTAAGAACTAATCAATTCAAGAGATCAATCAATAAAACATAAAAATAAGGGACATTTTCTTCAATTTGACAACCTTTATTGACAATTGTTTTCTTATTGGAAGTGATTGAAAATAAATTATTTCTTAATTACTACGATTCTTCAGGAATTTTGTCTTTTTTTTTCATTTTGGTCAGTTTTAATACTGAACTTTAGATATATCTTTTTGTTTAATAATTTTTTCATATATATTTTTTAAAATCAGAATATTTTTCTTTCTGCTTGTACACCTGTGAAGGCTATACTATATAAAGATATTGTTTCAATCAGGCTGCAATGCATGGATCTGTGAATGTCTTACACTGGTTGCTAGAAGCTGGAGCCAACATCAACTTGCAAGATTGTAAATATATTCATTCAGAAATTTCTGGTTAGATTAGGTATGGTTATGTGTTTTCTTGGTTTTCATTTCCCCCTCTACCACACAGCTGAAGGCAATACACCAAGCCACTATGCAGCACAAGAGGGAAAGGCTGAGTGCTTTAACTGTTGTCTGCAGCATGATGCTTTACTTTCTCTGGTCAATGCTAAGGGAGAAGTACCCATGGATAAGGCCAGAAAGAGTGGACATTTTTTACTCATGGAGAAAGCAAGTAGGACCAAACAGAGTTTTTTAATGATTGACAACCACACAAAATACAGTATACAATAAATGTCTTAAGTTAAAATTTGAGGATTAGCTATTAACTTTTTAGCAACTTTTTTTTATATACGTTTAAATTACTTTTAAAATAATATTTTATTAACACTAAATCCAATTCATCAAATGAAGATGTCAAATGATAATTATAAAATACATACAATATAATTAATTTTGTTTTTTAAGTAATCACCTTTTTATTTTAAAAATGTATACATATAGTTAGTTATTACATATTAAATTCATAGAAGCACAATTTGGATTGAACAAAAAATCCTTGTAATTATTCTTCTACTACTTCCAGCCACCAATATGGTTGTGTGTCCAATGTGTTATGTAAAATTTGAGAAAGAAGAATATGATCTTGCTCATGCACCTTCCACTGTTGAGAGGTCAATTACTGCAGCCAAATCAAGAGCCTACTCATCTCCCTTATCTGGGTATGAAACCCTCTTACATTTTTTAAATTGTAATTTGCTGGTGTTTTTTTTAAACCAGCTAAACTATTAAGTCAATAGTATTTATACATTAGTACCTTGCTGTAACTGAGCAACAAAGGACAGAGAAGTAGCAGTCATGAACCTGATATGGCTTTAAGATTTATTATAACTATGGCTGCCTAGATAGTTACCAAAAATATTCCCTCAAATACTTTGATGTAAAAAATTTAGTAATATTCAGCTTCAAATTTTGTTGATTTGGAAAAAACAAAATCATTAATTTAAAAAAAAGCATCACCAAAGTTTAATGTAATTTTAATACATGGAATGTATTTAAGATATTGCCCATATATGATGTCACACTTTTAGACAAATTATACTTGCTAAGGTCTCTCTTAACAGAACATTCCTAAAACAACTCTTAAGTTCCACTCTTCATTCATGTTTTTCTCAAATCATAGCAACTTTTTAGATACATTCATTCTAGAAATGTTTTTATCATTTTATTTCAGGAAAACAAGCAGTGTCCAGAAGCATATAGAGAAAACCAAATTCAAGTCAGAACACAAAAATGTAACAAATTCGCTCAAAAAATCTCGAAATCTTCCAACTAAATATTTTGGGGAGTATGTTGATCCTAATAAAGCATTTAATTTCAAAGCCAAATGATATTCTACTTAACAAATACACTTATAAATCAATTCATCATCTTTTCTGTTTGTGCCCAAGACATGGGGCCACCACAGAAAGCTCCTTCCACTTTTGTCGGTCTCTGGTAATTTTGAGACAGTCCCCTAACATAGTCCTGCCTTTGTCAGTTGCTTTTCTGCTGTGCGCCTCCATGTCATTCATGTGCTTGCGTTTTCTTTTTCCCTGAGGCATCCAATTTAGTGTCATTTCTTAAAACGTGCCATCTTTTTTCTGTTGTGATTCTCCATCCCCCCAGATGTGTATGTTTAATATAAATATTTTGATCGTATAACATGTATTGGTTGTGTGTAAATTGCATGTTTAATAAATCTCTATGCTTCATCAGTTTATTCTTTTTGGAAATGTCTTAAGCTTGTATTAAATATTAAAAGTAGTAGAATGTTTTGATAAAAAATAAAAACTTTAAATAAAAGATCTGATCAGCAAGTTATTGTCAAATTATTTTATTGGGTAAAACAAATATGATTCAATAAAAATTGACATACAGGTCTATATATAAATAGGGCCAACAAAGAAAGTTTGAACTGACCAGAGTAAGAAATGTACAGCTACAGTACTCTTCAAAGATATAAACTGGTCTGATGAAGAGCTTTGTACAAGCTGACAATAAACTGATGATAGAAGAAATGTAACCCCTCAAACAGCCTGGTTAAAATTTGATCGCTTCCTTGAAGTATTTTAAAAACTAAATGAGAACAATTTCAAGGTTCATTGAACTATTTTTGTAACTTGCACATAATCAGAAGAGAAAAAAGATTTTTCATTAGTAAATAAAAATATATAAGCTGTTTCATTGGCATGACTAACATAGAGGGTAAAAAAAAAATACCATTGTAGTTAGTTTTTATTTAACAACCCATATTTAAATTAAAACAAAAATTATCAATATAAACCAAATTTAAAAGATAAAAGTAGTAATGTGAATAAAAACAATTTGATGTGAGGTTTGTCTTAAACCGTTACTAAGATAATCTCCAACCAAATTTGTCAGCAAATGATTCTTGAAGTTTTAAAATATGTCATACTCAAACATATATGAAAATAAAAATCACACACATCACAATTCTGATTCGATGTACATTGATTTATGGAGTGTACATTGTAGATGAGAGTTAGCTGTATGAATCACAGTGAAATGGTTTTTTTTAATTATGGCATTTTTAAGTTGAAGATTTGTTTCCTGTCCAAAAGTACTTGTTGTATTTAAAAATCAATGAAACTGTCTTTTAAGGTTTTGGTAACTGTCTTTGTGGTAACAGTCTTATGATGGTAACATGGTCTTTTCTAATGGTAAAGTGGTCTGGTCTGATGGTAACATGGTCTTTTCTGATGGTAACATGGTATTTTCTGATGGTAACATGGTCTTTTCTGATGGTAACATGGTATTTTCTGATGGTAAAGTGGTCTGTTCTGATGGTAACATGGTATTTTCTGATGGTAAAGTAGTCTGTTCTGATGTTAAAGTGGTCTTCTCTGATGGTAAAGTGGTCTGTTCTGATGGTAACTTGATCTGTTGTACAGAGTTGGGATTACTGTTAGAATCATGCAAGCATTTTTTCAGCCGTAACTTTGTAGATCTTCCTGATCTTGATGCTGACATTGTCTTTGAGTCAGTGTCTGTAATACAAAAAAAAAACCAAGACCAATGTAAATAAGGATTAAGCAAATGGTTTGTACAGTAACTTATAAAGTTGACCACCATCCTACCCTATGTCAGTATATGTGTTACATAATGTATGCATCATCACAAATAGGTATAGCCAAAAGAGACAGGTGAACCTAACATTAAAAGTTTAAAGCAAGTGCCAACTCTGTAGATTGTAGTAGTTAGTAACTGGTAAAACAAAAACTTTAACTCATTCTTTTACGAATTTAAACATTGCAGAAACAACCATTGAGTGTATGTTTCATTCTAATTTCTGATAATTTTAATACCTTCACTGAATAATGTCAATGTTATCCCTCACCCTTATTCTGGCCTAACACTAGACCTGACAAAACAATGGTAATGTTATGCTTTCAAAAATGATCCCACCCAACCCCATCATCATCACAAAAAGCCAGACCTCCTCACCTAAAACGTCACACATCAGCCCCCTCAAAATTGGTATTTTAAAAATATTTTAAACATCAATTTCTTATCTAGATCTGTAGCGTCACATGACGTGGGGCGGGGGGTGGGTGGGGGTCCGGGTGACAATTGAAAAAAAAAACCTGTTAAAACAATGTTTTGTCTAGTTGAAATAATAAACAGTAGGGGAGAGGGACACCAAACCGAAAATACATTGTAGGAGGAGGTGGGGTGACATCTTCAGTTACCGCACCGGGTGACACCCGACCTAGAGACGCCACTTGACTAATCACTAATCTAGTCCAGATCTTAATGAAAGTTTATTATCAAAGTGATAATAATAATAATGAATAGTTAAATAATAAATTTTACTAAATCTAAAATAAGTGTCAATTTACTCAGAGTTTAAAGCAACAGCCGAGGAATACAGACCTCTACCAATAATTAATTAAAATTATTTACTATTTGAGATCTTTAAACCATGTGGCATGTGGTCTGACTGATCAAGTTTTTTTAATATCTTGCCACAAATATTAAATATTGAAATTTCAAAACTAGGACCGCGCCCCTAGTTACACGGTTCGGGTGTACTTTCACTTTTTGTGTTTTTTTTTTTTTTTTTTTTTGTATTTTTAAATTCCTCCATTTTATAGTCCAGTATAATAGTAAATACATACAAACCCGTGTTTCTTCCACTTTTTTCTCCTGGGGGGGGGGGGGGGGGGGGGGGAACTTTTCTGGGGTGGGGGGGGGGCGGATCCTGGTAAAATTATGTTTTCTCCACAAATTCCAATTTAAAATGCGTGGGGACGGGTGGACTCCCCCCCCCCCCCCACGAAGAGATGCCTGGAAGAAACTCTGCTATAAACTGGTGAGCTTACCTAGCAAGGGAGTTATCAGATTTAAAACATACGAAGGGGATTTAGGTGGGAGTTATCATTTGCTATGTGGGCTCCAGTGGCGTAGCTAGGGTATGCGTCTACCATGATCACAAACCTTTGGTGAGCGAAAAGAAGTAGAGTATAACGCTAATATGCACACAGTTGATAGTAACTATGTTCATCTATAGTCGGTTATAAATATAGCTGGATGTCGCATTATTTCTTCTTTAGCTAGCAAGTTTACGTCATGGTGTCGAACCCCCTCCATTTTGTCGGGATCGGCAATTTATACTTAAAAGACTTTTTAAACTCTAATTAATCGAAGAGACGAAAAGCATTTTTCTTCTGTTTTGCAATATTTTTCTTGGTGTCACCCCCTAAATGGTGTCACCCGGTGCAGTCCACACCCCCGGCCCCCGCCTCGCGACACCTCTGTATATATATATATATATATATATATATATATATATATATATATATATATATATATATATATATATATATATATATATATACTTGTACCTCGACATACGAGATTCTTTAGATAAGAGCTATCGAGCGAGCTAAAGTTTGCTTTGACATACGAGCAAAAATTTGAGATTAGCAAAACATTCTAGAAAGGAGGAAAACACAAACCTTCTTGTATGTTTATTTACGGCCTGTTTAGGAAAGTGAGGAAATAGTGGCGAAAAAAAAACAAAGACCAGGGAAGAGAAAAGCTGTAAAAAAATTAAGCAAAAGTAACAAAACATTATACAGTAGGATTTAGGTTCAATTATTTTCGGGGAAGTTTAGGTTTCGTTAAGTTTAGGATCATGTGCAGCGTTAGGGCGAAACTAGTAAGTGAATTAAAGTGAGCTAAAGAGCTTAGCATTTACAATGAATAAGCGAATTAAAGTGAGCTAAAGAGCTTAGCAGTTACAATGAATAAGTGAACTAGGTTAAGCTCCTCCGCCTATTTCCTCCACCCCACATTTGACTTACACAGTGTTTCTTCCAGACTTTTTTCTCCGGGGGAGGGGGGCACTTGAAATTTCGGGGGGGGGGGGTAGACTTTCTTCGGGGGGGGGGGGGGAGGGGGCGGACACTGTTAAAAGTATATATTTTCTATATAATTTATATAAATTTCATTTCGTTAGGGGGGGGGGGGGCGGTAGAATTTTTTCTGGGGGGGGGGGGGGGTAAATACACTTTTCAAAACAAGCTTATTTCTTTGCATTATCCTTTATTATGTTATTGAACAAATATTTATCATGTAGGCCTATATATATTAACTTTTCTTATTAAAAACAAACACGAATAAAAAAAAACAACATGGTGTGCCATTTTGAGGGCTGGAGCGAATTAATGTTATGTAAATTAATTTCAACGAATAAAATATTGTACTGAGATGCGAGCAATTTTACATTCGAGCAAACTAAGAACTAATTTAACTCGTATCTCGAGGTATCGCTGTATATAATAGTAAATATTTTATATATATATATATATATATATATATATATATATATATATATATATATATATATATATATATATATATATATATATATTACTAGGGTAAGTAAGTGATTATTAATCTGTATTTTAAAATATATTTCGCATTTTGAAAGACATTTATAAATTGAAATAAAAAGGATCAATATACCTACTTTGAATAAAAAGGCTCAGTTAATATTTATGAGGATATCATTTTCCAAGGGTGATGTCTGAATATTTTTGACAAAGTGTGACTATGGGGAGAGGGGAGTTTTAAAAAACATGACGTCATTTATAAACGATTCCTTTTTGGTGTGTGTGGGGGTGGGGGGTATGTTGGTCTTTTTTTATTCGTCGCTCAGAATGGTTAAATGAATTTATCTAAAAAGAATTTTTAAAAGGTTTTATTTACTTGCGGTTAAAAAAAAATGTGGTGTTGGGACGAGGGAACGACAGTGGCTGCTGTCATGTGCGCCCCCCCCCCGGTCAGTGTCATAGGGAGCTGGTTCCATGTCCACCACTGAGTTGCCAAAACGTTAAAGTTACCATCTGTATATTTGCATATTGTTAAAACGTTAAATTTACCATCTGTATGCTTGCATTTCAAAACGTTAAATTTACCATCTGTATGCTTTCATGGTATCAAAACAAAACGTACTTGTTTTGCAAACAAAATCTTTATATGTCAACGGCAGCATACGAGTTACACACGCTCTCACACGCACACACGTAGATATATACATACACACGTAGATATAATACACATACACGTACACGTACACGTACGCGTACGCGTACGCGTACGCGTACGCATACGCGTACGCATACGCATACGCATACGCATACGCATACGCATACCCATACGCATACGCATACGCATACGCATACGCATACACATACACATACACATACACATACACATACACATACACATACACATACACATACACATACACATACACATACACATACACATACACATACACATACACATACACATACACATACACATACACATACACATACACATACACATACACATACACATACACATACACATACACATACACATACACATACACATACACATACACATACACATACACATACACATACACATACACATACACATACGACACAGACATAGACATAGACATACACACACATATATACATGTACACACATATATATATATATATATATATATATATATATATCTACACACACAAACATATATATATATATATATATATATATATATATATATATATATATATATATATATATATATATATATATATATATATATATATATATATATATATATATATACTGGTCCTTGACTTCCTCTTCACACACTGGTTGTGCTACATTGAGTTTTACATATTGCTCCAGTTGATGTTAACCGACATTGAAGAATTAAGACGGTGTCAACACAGGCTTGCATGTCACGCCGGTAGCTCGCAGACTAATGACGTCTATTAGTGGATCTCACTCTGTAGCTCGCAGACTAATGACGTCAGGATCTCACTCTGTAGCTAGCAGACTAATGACGTCTATTAGTGGATCTCACTCTGTAGCTCGCAGACTAATGACGTCAGGATCTCACTCTGTAGCTCGCAGACTAATGACGTCAGGATCTCACTCTGTAGCTAGCAGACTAATGACGTCAATTAGTGGATCTCACTCTGTAGCTCGCAGACTAATGACGTCAGGATCTCACTCTGTAGCTCGCAGACTAATGACGTCAGGATCTCACTCTGTAGCTAGCAGACTAATGACGTCAATTAGTGGATCTCACTCTGTAGCTAGCAGACTAATGACGTCAATTAGTGGATCTCACTCTGTAGCTCGCAGACTAATGACGTCAGGATCTCACTCTGTAGCTAGCAGACTAATGACGTCTATTAGTGGATCTCACTCTGTAGCTACCAGACTAATGACGTCAGGATCTTACACTGTAGCTCGCAGACTAATGACGTCTATTAGTGGATCTCACTCTGTAGCTCGCAGACTAATGACGTCAGGATCTCACTCTGTAGCTAGCAGACTAATGACGTCTATTAGTGGATCTCACTCTGTAGCTCGCAGACTAATGACGTCAGGATCTCACTCTGTAGCTAGCAGACTAATGACGTCTATTAGTGGATCTCACTCTGTAGCTCGCAGACTAATGACGTCAGGATCTCACTCTGTAGCTAGCAGACTAATGACGTCTATTAGTGGATCTCACTCTGTAGCTCGCAGACTAATGACGTCAGGATCTCACTCTGTAGCTCGCAGACTAATGACGTCAGGATCTCACTCTGTAGCTAGCAGACTAATGACGTCAATTAGTGGATCTCACTCTGTAGCTCGCAGACTAATGACGTCAGGATCTCACTCTGTAGCTAGCAGACTAATGACGTCTATTAGTGGATCTCACTCTGTAGCTACCAGACTAATGACGTCAGGATCTTACACTGTAGCTCGCAGACTAATGACGTCTATTAGTGGATCTCACTCTGTAGCTACCAGACTAATGACGTCAGGATCTTACACTGTAGCTCGCAGACTAATGACGTCTATTAGTGGATCTCACTCTGTAGCTACCAGACTAATGACGTTAAGGATCTCACTCTGTAGCTAGCAGACTAATGACGTCTATTAGTGGATCTCACTGTGTAGCTCGCAGGCTAATGACGTTAAGGATCTCACTCTGTAGCTCGCAGACTAATGACGTCTATTAGTGGATCTCACTCTGTAGCTACCAGACTAATGACGTCAGGATCTTACACTGTAGCTCGCAGACTAATGACGTCTATTAGTGGATCTCACTCTGTAGCTACCAGACTAATGACGTCAGGATCTTACACTGTAGCTCGCAGACTAATGACGTCTATTAGTGGATCTCACTCTGTAGCTACCAGACTAATGACGTTAAGGATCTCACTCTGTAGCTAGCAGACTAATGACGTCTATTAGTGGATCTCACTGTGTAGCTCGCAGGCTAATGACGTTAAGGATCTCACTCTGTAGCTCGCAGACTAATGACGGCAGGATCTCACTCTGTACCTAACATACTATGACGTCTATTAGTCTGAGGAAATCTTACCCAATATAAAAACAGCCGGACATTTAGAACACGCTAGTCACTGATCAATCAGTTGGTAAAAAAAATAATGAAACCAACATAGAAATATAAGGGTTGCAAGCGAGTAGACCACACATATTTCTATCAGAACAACTTGGTCATCCGAGGGATTCAAGTCCTTAAGTCGTGACTGTGTTCATTCCAATCATCTTTACTCTCACGACCCCATTGTTGTCAGTGTTTCACAGCGGGCACTTGAAACTTGGGGAAGGGGGGGGGGGGGAGGCTAAATTCTCCGGTGTGGGGGGGGGGGGAAGACTGGTAATAGTATATTTTTTAAATATACATTTTATTTCATCCAGATTGTGGAGGGAAGGTGGCGGTGACCCCCCCCCCCCCCCCCCCAACCAGTGGCGTAGCGACCCTTCCCGGCGCCCGGGGACAAACTTTTAATTTGGCGCCCCCCTTGGGAACAAACCTTCAGTTTTCAGTTTGCTCACCCCCATTAAACTTTCCATTTGCACCCCCCCCCCCTTCTCCTCAAACTTTCCATTTGCACCCCCCCCCCCCCATATATATTTTATATTTAAAATGCAAAACTGCTCCTAAAATGAGATTTTAATTTGTTTTTCCAACCCATTTTGGCGCCCCCCAAGGTCGGCGCCCGGGGACATATGTACCCCCCCCTGCCCCCCCCCCCCCTTCGCTACGCCTCTGCCCCCAACTTTCCCAGAAAAGATGCATGAAAGAAACACTGATTGTTATTTGTTTCTCAGCGATTTAATCTAGCACAAAAACAAAATTAAAACTTGTGAATTTAAAACTATGTTTAATTTTTGTTTTTTATAAAACCACCAAAAAGTATTCTTTCACACAAATATGTGCTGGTGCATTGTTTAACATATCTACACATGTCTATGTATGTTCTAAATTGTAAGATATTGTTTAGTGGCAAGAGCAAGTTGTGTGAGTTGTGTTAGGGACAAGAACAAGTTGCCAGAACTTGTTGGATAAAATAGCCGTCACAACTTAGGGGAAAGAACTCTGATGACAGACGGCAGTAAGTGGGGAAAATACAACACCGTGTTACTTATGATGGTTATATTTGTAGGCCTTGCCATTCGTTTCTTGTGTGATTTCATGTAATGAGTGTAAAGTATTATGGCACGTGGTTTACACCGATTATAACATAATTAATAGCAGTATGATTTAGAGCTAACGAGCTTGATGCTCCAGTAATTGCTACAGCCCTTAATCAGGCGATATTTATTTGTTTATGTCTGACAACGTAATCTTTGTTTGATAGACACCCCCGCACAATCCTCTGACCACGCCCCCACACTTCCTCCCGTCACGCCCCCTCACTTTCTTGCACCCCGCCTTTCAAATCGCCCCCCCCCCCCCCCCAAACAACAACAAAGTTACTCCTTTAAATTCATACAAGCCCTTGTGACGTCTATCGTAGGCCTACTAGTCGCTTTTCTTACTTGGCATTAATCCTGTAAGTCTTCAATTATTTTTTTTAGCCCGAACACCCCCTATTCCCCCTCCCCACCGCCACCACCTCCCTCCCGCACCACCCGATCCCTTAAAGCGGGGATTAGGGAGAAGAGGGGTGTCGAGGGGTGTCAGGCCAAGTGGCAGCCCAGCTAACAAATGAACCCATGTAAGAGAGCTGACGTCTGCCTCGCTGGCTCGCCTCGACCAAATTCCCCCGCGCTAGTTCCCAGCCTCGGCACATGGCTTACAGCCCGGTGGATGACGGCGTCTCCCAACCGCCAAACACCAGACGAGGGGTGCTTTTTTTTTCTTTCCAAACTCAAAATTTCAATTCTAGATTTGAAAAATTTACTTTTGGCAGACGCCGACACATCGCGATGTGCGCATGAGCAGATGTCGGGATACCCGCGAGATCGCTCAGTTCGATAACCAATCACTCAATCACAGACATCGCCGCTGGTGTACACGACTAAATTACCCCGGGGAGTTAAGATTCCTTGGTGATGACATATGGCATTAAACTCAAGGTAATTAATTAACTACACGTACTTAATCACACACTAACGCAAATTATATTTACTGATAGTAACTTGTGTTTTAACGCTTTAGTTATTGATTATGTTAACTTTACTTTATCTTGGGATAATGTTAACTTATCTAGGGATAATGTTAACTTTAGCTAGGGATAACGTTAGCTTTATCTAGGGATAATGTTAACTTTATCTAGGGATAATGTTAACTTTAGCTTGGGATAATGTTAACTTTATCTAGGGATAATGTTAACTTTATCTAGGGATAACGTTAGCTTTATCTAGGGATAATGTTAACTTTAGCTTGGGATAATGTTAACTTTATCTAGGGATAATGATAACTTTAGCTAGGGATAATGTTAACTTTAGCTTGGGATAATGTTAACTTTATCTAGGGATAATGTTAACTTTAGCTAGGGATAATGTTAACTTTATCTAGGGATAGTGTTAACTTTATCTAGGGATAATGTTAACTTTATCTAGGGATAATGTTAACTTTATCTAGGGATAACGTTAGGTTTCAATAACACATTGGAGTCAAATATTCACTTTAGAACATTTCTCCTTGTGACTAGATCCTTCATTGGGCCAAGCCACTGATCATGTGGACTTTATAACAAGCCACAGATCATGTGGGCTTTATAACAAGCCACCAGATCGTGTTGGCTTTATAACAAGCCACCAGATCGTGTGGGCTTTATAACAAGCCACCAGATCATGTGGGCTTTATAACAAGCCACCAGATCTTGTGTCTTTATAACAAGCCACAGATCATGTGGGCTTTATAAGCAACTACTAAGTCTAGTGGACTTTATAAAGTATAAAGTTTGAATTATTGATCTGTATCTTCAAGTGACTTATATTATAATATTTTAATTCACTGAAGACTTTTAATCTTTCAAAATTACATTCGTCTGTCTAATCTCAGTGTGTGTGTGGGGGGGGGGGGGGGGGGGGTGGGGGGGGGGGGTCGTACACATAATATTAGGATTTATCATTGTTTTATGTTTGGTTTTGTTATTATATATATATATATATATATATATATATATATATATATATATATATCACTCAGAGGCGTAGCGACCCTTCCCGGCGCCCGGGGACAAACTTGTGATTTGCACTCCCCTCCCCCCTCAAGATTTCGATTTGCACTCCCCCCGCCCCCTCAAACTTTCGATTTGTATCCCCCTCAAGATTTCGATTTGCACCCCCCCCCTCAAACTTTCGATTTTCACCCCCCCCCCCCTCAAACTTTCGATTTGCACCCCCCTCAAACTTTCGATTTGCACCCCCCTCAACCTTTCAATTTATTTTTCCAACCCATTTTGGCGCCCCCTAAGGTCGTCGCCCGGGGACATGTCCCCCCCCCCCCCCGCTACGCCTCTGATATCACTACTAGTGCTCGTCTCAATTCTAATTTTCTCAAAAAACTCGACTCTACTGAATGGTTGAGTGAATCAATGTAAAGCGTCATATCTAGCCTACACGAGCTCTGCACGCGAATTGAATCTAATTTAATATCTCAACATAGTTTTACAGTAGCCTCTAATTGAATGTGTACAAGTGATCTTAGCTCAACATAGGTTTACAGTAGCCTCTCATTGAATGTGTACAAGTGATTCTATCTCAACATAGCTTTACAGTAGCCTCTAATTGAATGTGTACACGTGATTCTATCTCAACGTAGTTTTACAGTAGCCTCTAATTGAATGTGTACAAGTGATCTTAGCTGAACATAGTTTTACAGTAGCCTCTTATTGAATGTGTACAAGTGATTCTATCTCAACATAGTTTTACAGTAGCCTCTAATTGAATGTGTACAAGTGATTCTATCTCAACATAGTTTTACAGTAGCCTCTAATTGAATGTGTACAAGTGATTCTATCTCAACATAGTTTTACAGTAGCCTCTAATTGAATGTGTACAAGTGATTCTATCTCAACATAGTTTTACAGTAGCCTCTAATTGAATGTGTACAAGTGATCTTAGCTGAACATAGTTTTACAGTAGCCTCTTATTGAATGTGTACAAGTGATTCTATCTCAACATAGTTTTACAGTAGCCTCTAATTGAATGTGTACAAGTGATTCTATCTCAACATAGTTTTACAGTAGCCTCTAATTGAATGTGTACAAGTGATCTTAGCTCAACATAGTTTTACAGTAGCCTCTAATTGAATGTGTACAAGTGATCTTAGCTCAACATACAATTTTTTTGCAGTTTCTGCTGTAAGTGTTGTAAGGGGTTTTCTGTAAAAGCAATCTTCTACGGTGAATTACTTTGACAATCCAAACTTTTTTAAACCATGGGGTTAGGTTGTTGCTAGTGTTTAATTTGATAGCTTTCTGTCTGTTGAAATGTTAAATAAAATTATATGAAGGAGAGCTGGGTCAATAATATCGTGCTTTTGTCGTAAATTGGATGGCCTACTTTTCTGTAGCATGCAGATGTAACAGCCGTAAATTTATTTATGTAATGTGTAAATGTAAGGAGCTTATAACAACTTTTGTAACGTGTAAATGAAAGGACCTTCTACAACATTTTGTAATGTGTAAATGTAAGGACCTTATAACAACTTTTGTAATGTGTAAACGAAAACCTTATACAACATTTTTTAATGTGTAAACGTACCGGCTTTGTAAAACCTTTCTATAATGTGTAAATGTAAGGTCCTTATAACAACTTTTGTAACGTGTAAATGTACCGGCTTTATAAAAACTTTTCTGTAAAGTATAAATGTAAGGGCCTTATAAAAACTTTTCTCTAAAGTATAAATATAAGGGCCTTATAAAAACAATGAACACCGGTTTGTGCGTGGAGCGTTCTGTAACCCAACACACGCCGGTGTACACCCAACTCTAACACCTCAGAAACACGAGACATGCGACACTAGCAGGGCCCGTCAGCCAGTATTTTAACTCCAATTTCAGCACCATTCTACCCACAGCTGGAGTGGTTCGCAGTTTTTTGACACAACAATCAGCCCCGATTCGTGTTGCCAGCCTATAGACCGGTCATTTCACCCGGTCACTTCAGCCGTTTATTGTTGGAGGTGTCAAACCGAGAGTGTCATTGAACTTTCATCTTGACCTCATCCCACCGCTGTCGCAGTGTCACCTGCTTGTAATGACCTCCATTGTCAGTTTACTCATAGTCTCAAACCGCTGGCTTTCGGGGACTCCAGTCTATAATGGCCAAATAGTTAGAGAATTCTTTTCTCAATTCTATAATGGACATATAGTTATAGAATTCTTTTCTCAATTCTATAATGGACATATAGTTATAGAATTCTTTTCTCCATTCTATAATGGACATATAGTTATAGAATTCTTTTCTCCATTCTATAATGGACATATAGTTATAGAATTCTTTTCTCCATTCTATAATGGACATATAGTTATAGAATTCTTTTCTCCATTCTATAATGGCCAAATAGTTATAGAATTCTTTTCTCCATTCTATAATGGACATATAGTTATAGAATTCTTTTCTCCATTCTATAATGGACATATAGTTATAGAATTCTTTTCTCCATTCTATAATGGACATATAGTTATAGAATTCTTTTCTCCATTCTATAATGGCCAAATAGTTATAGAATTCTTTTCTCCATTCTATAATGGCCAAATAGTTATAGAATTCTTTTCTCCATTCTATAATGGACATATAGTTATAGAATTCTTTTCTCCATTCTATAATGGACATATAGTTATAGAATTCTTTTCTCCATTCTATAATGGACATATAGTTATAGAATTCTTTTCTCCATTCTATAATGGCCAAATAGTTATAGAATTCTTTTCTCCATTCTATAATGGCCAAATAGTTATAGAATTCTTTTCTCCATTCTATAATGGCCAAATAGTTATAGAATTCTTTTCTCCATTCTATAATGGACATATAGTTATAGAATTCTTTACTCCATTCTATAATGGCCAAATAGTTATAGAATTCTTTTCTCCATTCTATAATGGCCAAATAGTTATAGAATTCTTTTCTCCATTCTATAATGGCCAAATAGTTATAGAATTCTTTTCTCCATTCTATAATGGCCAAATAGTTATAGAATTCTTTACTCCATTCTATAATGGACATATAGTTATAGAATTCTTTACTCCATTCTATAATGGCCAAATAGTTATAGAATTCTTTTCTCCATTCTATAATGGCCAAATAGTTATAGAATTCTTTTCTCCATTCTATAATGGCCAAATAGTTATAGAATTCTTTTCTCCATTCTATAATGGACATATAGTTATAGAATTCTTTACTCCATTCTATAATGGCCAAATAGTTATAGAATTCTTTTCTCCATTCTATAATGGCCAAATAGTTATAGAATTCTTTTCTCCATTCTATAATGGCCAAATAGTTATAGAATTCTTTTCTCCATTCTATAATGGACATATAGTTATAGAATTCTTTTCTCCATTCTATAATGGCCAAATAGTTATCGAATTCTTTTCTCCATTCTATAATGGACATATAGTTATAGAATTCTTTTCTCCGTTCTATAATGGCCAAATAGTTATCGAATTCTTTTCTCCATTCTATAATGGCCAAATAGTTATAGAATTCTTTTCTCCATTCTATAATGGACATATAGTTATAGAATTCTTTTCTCCATTCTATAATGGACATATAGTTATAGAATTCTTTACTCCATTCTATAATGGACATATAGTTATAGAATTCTTTTCTCACTTCTATAATGGACATATAGTTATCGAATTCTTTTCTCACTTCTATAATGGACATATAGTTATCGAATTCTTTTCTCCATTCTATAATGGCCAAATAGTTATAGAATTCTTTTCTCCATTCTATAATAGACAAATAGTTATAGAATTCTTTTCTCAATTCTATAATAGACATATAGTTATAGAATTCTTTTCTCAATTCTATAAAAGTAATATAGAATTCTTTATTGCATTTTATAACAGTGATTTAGTTTTAGAATTCGTTACTCCATTCTAAAAAAGTAATATAGAATTTTTTACTCCATTCTATAATAGTGATTAAGTTATAGAATTCGCTACTCTATTCTATAATAGTGATTTAGTTATATAATTCGTTACTCCATTCTATAAAAGTAATATAGAATTCTTTACTTTATACTATAATGGTCGTATAGAATTCGTTACTCCATTCTATAATAGTGATTTAGTTATAAAATTCATTACTCCAATATATAACCTCACTCACTTTATCACTGAAAACAACATTCAATACGGATATATACAAATAGTATATATATATATATATATATATATATATATATATATATATATATATATATATATATATATATATATATATATATATATATTGCGATATGTATACGTTTAGGCCTACGTATATGTAGAAGTAATACATATGCGTATATATTTGCATTTGCGCATTTGTGTATAAATGCACATTTTTCTGTACATTTATATGCAGAAATATAGTTATGGCGTATGTATATAAATAGGTACTCATGTGTATATGTGTTGACATAAGTACATATGTGTGTATGTGTATCCTATAAATTTGTAACTGCGATTTTCCCACACTAAGGCTTTGGTTATAATAGGACTTGAAGTAAGTCTAGGATTAAACAGAAGAACGTGGTGCCTTCAGTAGCTATTATTTTAACTTTTCGTGGTAAGGGAGAGAATTTGAAGGGGGAACCGTTCAATAGACGACGAAAAAATGTATTGAAGGGCGGGGGTGGAGGGGAAAAGTGCAATAATAGACGTCTGTGGCGGGCTGTGATTTTTTAAGAGGGGAAACTACATGTCTTCTCTTGTAGGGCAGACACAATCTTTCTTAAGAGGGGAAACTACATGTCTTCTCTTGTAGGGCAGACACAATCTTTCTTTTACTTGACAGACAAATCTTTCGTGCTAGACACAATCTTTCACGGTAGACACAATCGTTTCTTTTACAGTAGAAGATTCAATCTTTCTTTTACAGTAGAAGATTCAATCTTTCTTTACATGATTTAAAAAAATCTGTACATGGTACACAAAATCTCTCGCTGCTCGCCATAGCTTTTAATGAATTACAGAGTAGACAACATGATAACGTTATCATTTACATGCCAGACAAAACCTTTCTTTTAAATACCGACCAAAACCTTTCTTTTAAATACCGACCAAAACCTTTCTTTTAAATACCGACCAAAATTTTTCTTTTAAATACCGACCAAAACCTTTCTTTTAAATACCGACCAAAATCTTTCTTTTAAATACCGACCAAAATCTCTCTTTTAAATGCCAGACAAAACCTTTCTTTTAAATACCGACCAAAATCTCCCTTTAAATGCCGAACAAAATCTCTATTTTACATGACAATGTTTTGTTTTACAAAAACTAGGAAAAACTTTTTTTTTCAAAACGTGCAAAACGCCTTAGTCTAAAAAGTATAAGGGTTAGTTTAGTTAGCAGCTCGAAGTTGAATATTTCGTGAGAAATATAATATTGTAGTTGGGGGGGGGGGGGGGGGGGGGTGACGACATTGGTACTTATAAATTGTTTTTGGTTATCAAACCAGGATTCCCGTGCTACACAAAATGCTACAAGGTACACTTGTACAACTTTCATTGTACACAATATATTAGGGCCGCGTTTTTATTATAGAGCCGCTAAGCCCTGGTCTAGACTGGATATAATACAGGGGAAAAACTAGCGGGTTTACAGGCGTAGCGTGAAGGGTTGTTGCGACTAGGCTACATTATCGCACCCGAAAAGTCCACTTCTATTTTTATTTCAGGCTATAGGCTATTCTTTAAATAAATGTAATGCTTAATTGTTATTAATAAAAAAAAATTCGAATGCTTTAAAGTATTTTCTTTGCATACCGACAGTGCTGGACCCCCCCCCCCCCCCCCACGTCCCTTCCCGCACCTTTAAAAATCGTAGCAATTTAGCCTTCTAAACATGATAACATTTTTCATCCTTTTAATCAATACGCGGATTTTGGCGTTGATGTCTCTTTGTCATGTTACAGTAAATGTGTCATAATTTAATATTATGTTTGTGTTATAATGTGTGCTAAATTAATATTATGTTTGTGTTTGTTATAGTAAATTGTGTCCTAATTTTAATATTATGTTTGTGTTATAATGTAGACTAATTTAATATTATGTCTGTGTTATAATGTGTCCTAATTTAATATTATGTTTTTTGTTATAATAAATTGTGTCTTAATTAAATATTATGTTTGTGTTATAGTAAATTGTATCGCCCATTAAAAGTAATTTTGTCAGCTAATAATTCGTGCATTAGCATGTATCTGATGCTGGATATACAATTTCCCGAATGTGTTCCTCAGTAAAAAATATATATCCCACGAATTGCCCAACGGCCATTATTTTTAAAATAAAGTTTGAAACTTCTCGCATGCCAAAAATGTGACACACATATAGGTAATGATAGGATGAAAGTGGGATGAGCTCTCTCTCTCTCATCATCTCTTTAATGAAGATTTATAGTCAGCTGGCTCCACCCCTCCCTGGCTTAACTTATGATAGGCAAGATATTAACAAGTTGTGTTTTTAATGAATGTATATCTCCGTGGGGGGAAGCCGGGGTTGGCACGCTCGCCTGATCTACGGGCTGGATGCTTGCTAGTTATCTATCTTTAGAAACTTGAACAATTCTCTGCTCGCAATGACTCAAAGAAAACGATAACTCAGGCAATGGGATATAAAATCTACAAGTTCTGACGTCAAGTATGCGGGCTCAGCCTGGCGATGGGAAACCCATACAGGTAACGCATACAGGTAACGCATACAGGTAGGAGCGGAATGTTTATCTAGGCACGCGGCAAAACTACCTTCCTTCAGCCAGCGCTAGAAACATTATATATATATATATATATATATATATATATATATATATATATATATATATATATATATATATATATATATATATATATATATTTATATATATAATCTGTATATATATATATATATATATATATATATATATATATATATATATATATATATATATATATATATATAATCTGTATATAAGTATATATATGTATATATATGTGTATATATATGTGTATATATATGTGTGTATATATGTATATATATATATATATATATATATATATATATATATATATATATATATATATATATATATATATATATATATATATATATATATATATATATATATATATATATTATATAACCGATCAATATAAACTTCGGTTACTTTCAGGTCCATAGACCGTCATGACCAACAGAAAATGTGAAGTTCCGTCCAGCCAGCGTTGAGAAAATATTTTATCAGCAGGTCAAATTGTTTGCAAGAACCTGGGCACAAGTTGCTTGAAAAGAAAAAAACCAAAACATCGGCACAAGTCGCTTGAATTACAGCGAAAACATCGGCACAAGTCGCTTGAATTAAAGCGAGAACATCGGCACAAGTCGCTTGAATTACAGCGAGAACATCGGCACAAGTCGCTTGAATTACAGCGAGAACATCGGCACAAGTCGCTTGAATTACAGCGAGAACATCGGCACAAGTCGCTTGAATTTTTCATTACGGGTTGTTGTTGCCGGTGCTCAAGTAGTGGCGGGTGATAATGGCGTTCAAATTTAGTATCGATATTGTATTCTTGCTCTCTGTATATATCTATCCAATACTGGCAACAACGGCTGACTCGTATCGATACGGCAAGGATAGTTACAGCTACGATTATTTCTACGGCAACAACAACGGCGCCGGAGAAGACGAGTACGCCAGCGACTGGAGCACGAGTGAGTGGGGCAAGCTGAACAGCCGGACACTGCCGTCTAAGTGTGTGGACATCCCCAGCAACCTGACCCTGTGCCAGGGCATCGGCTACAAGAAGATGCTGCTGCCCAACATACTGGACCACGACTCCCTGTACGAGGTCACCCAGCAGGCCGGCTCCTGGGTGCCGCTCATCAACATCAACTGCCACCCCGACACCAAGGTCTTCCTCTGCTCCCTCTTCTCCCCCGTCTGTCTGGAGCGGCTAATCTACCCGTGCAGGTAAAACACTTTTTACATGCCCTCAATGCTTCTTTATAAACAAAACGGATGGCGTGCCTGTCAAGATTAAATCCTGGCCGCCAGCGGGGGGGGGGGGGGGGGGGGGGGGGGAATTGTTGATTGGGGGAAATACATTTCCTGATAGTGGGGGATTGTTGATTGGAGGAAATACATTTCCTAATAGTGGGGGATTGTTGATTGGGGGAAATACATTTACTGATAGTGGGGGATTGTTGATTGGGGGAAATACATTTACTGATAGTGGGGGATTGTTGATTGGAGGAAATACATTTCCTAATAGTGGGGGATTGTTGATTGGGGGAAATACATTTACTGATAGTGGGGGATTGTTGATTGGGGGAAATACATTTACTGATAGTGGGGGATTGTTGATTGGGGGAAATACATTTCCTGATAGTGGGGGATTGTTGATTGGAGGGGGGGTGAATACATTTTCTGATAGTGGGGGATTGTTGATTGGGGGAAATACATTTTCTGATAGTGGGGGATTGATCCCCGTTGTCCAGGTAGTGTTCAAGACCCATTAGGTAGATGAAGTAGAGTTCATCTGTTGAATAACCTCGGCTGTACTGGTGTGTACAGTGTGAGATCGTTGATTAAAGGGAATACATTTTCTGTCGTTAGGGAATGGGGTGGGGGTGGATCATTTTTTAATCATAACTTTTTGCCACGTTTGCAATATGACGTTAATTATTTTTCTTAGTTAGCTTCTCCTTATTGCAATATGACGTTAATTATTTTTCTTATTGCAATGTGACGTTAATTATTTTTCTTAGTTAGCTTCTCCTTATTGCAATATGACGTTAATTATTTTTCTTATTGCAATGTGACGTTAATTATTTTTCTTATTGCAATATGACGTTAATTATTTTTCTTAATGTAGCTTCTCCTTATTGCAATATGACGTTAATTATTTTCCTTATTGCAATATGACGTTAATTATTTTTCTTATTGCAATATGACACTAATTATTTTTCTTATTGCAATATGACGTTAATTATTTTCCTTATTGCAATATGACGTTAATTATTTTTCTTATTGTAATATGACGCTAATTATTTTTCTTATTGCAATATGACGTTAATTATTTTCCTTATTGCAATATGACGTTATTTTCCTTATTGCAATATGACGTTAATTATTTTTCTTATTGTAGTCTCCTTACTTAAACTTTATGTTAAATTCACATTAGGGTAATTTAATGTACAACTGATTTTATTGTGACTTGATATGAAAATAATTCTCTTGCCACGGTAACTTTTCAGTGATCCTCCTCCACCCCCTTCCCCGTCTCCCACAAACAGACGTAAATAAAATCAGTTACAACTATGTAATAATCGCTTCCGTTTTTGTTTTTTTCAATTTTTGTTTTGTTTTTTTTTTGTTTTTTTTTTGAGGCTGTAAATGTAGCCATTTACGTCCGTCACTTTTTAGCGGTTTTACTGTAGCTACTATCTGTAATAAACACGGCTTTGGATTAATGAGAATATGGGACAAAATTAATTAGTAAATTAACTAGAAAACCTGTAATCATAGAATTTGTTGTTCATAAAAAAAATCATTTTACATTATTGATTAAAAGCCGTTTTAAATATTGAAAACTTTTTTCTTTTAGAAAAAAAAAATTAAGAACCGGTCGGTTTTATGGAATTTTTCTCCAGAATTTGTTTCGCGTTAAAATTTCAATATAATTTTGTACCAATAAAATGAGAATGGAAGTTGTTTCATAGTTTAATAGATCTCAGTATCCAATCTAGAATTAACACATTGCAACAGATAGGCCGCTAGACACAAAGTTAAAGTAACATATTGTATTATCAGTCTGTTTGAATGTAGCAGTTACAATACATATCGTAACATCAGTCTGTTTGAATTTGAATGTAGCAGTTACATATCGTAACATCAGTTTGTTTGAATGTAGCAGTTATAGTAACACAGACGCCTTTAGTCATAGCTGCAAATATACAAAACATTTTGCCGAGCTTTCGCCCTAGTCCTAGTTATTCGTCTATTTGAAGGGAGATATACTCATGCCTCACATCTAAAACTCTTAGCCACACATTAACCCATTGTAACTCAGCGTCATATAGAATCACAACTACAAGTCTAAAACTCTTAGCCACACATTAACCCATTGTAACTCAGCGTCATATAGAATCACAACTACAAGTCTAAAATATAAGGTAGTGTGATATTTCTGTCACAATTACAAGTCTAAAATCTAATGTCACAACTACACAAATGGTGTGTTTTAACTGATATTTTTTACACGAGGCAGAGGCGTAGCGAGAGTGGCGGCGGGGAGGGGGGGGGGTACAAGTGTCCCCCGGGCGCCGACCTTAGGCGGCGCCAAAATGGGTTGTAAAAACAAATTAAAATATCATTTTAGATGCAGGCAGTTTTGAATTATAAATATAAAAATATATGGGTGGTGCAAAAGAAAGTTTGAGGGGGGGGGGTGCAAATTGAAAGTTTGAGGGGGAGGGCAAATTGAAAGTTTGAGGGGGGGGGGTGCAAATTGAAAGTTGAATGGTTGTTCCCAAGGGGTACACCAAATTGAGAGCTTGTCCCCGGGCGCCGGGAAGGGTCGCTACGACTCTGACACGAGGGAAAGATGGTGTTTATTAACAGATATTTTTACTTCTCGATTCTGTCAGTTAAACATTATGTTCAATAAAACGACTTAACTCGTTTTTAGACTTTTAAGCTAAAATTATTGCCTCCTCTTTCTAATAAACATCTGAGCGAGAAAAAATGTGCCAATTGTTTAAATTGATTTTGTTAATTTTGTCTTTGACTTAAGGACGCTTTGTGAGAGTGTACAAGCGGCATGTGCCGGCCGAATGAAAACGTACGGCTTTGGTTGGCCAGATATGCTCAAGTGTGACAGGTTTCCATTGGATAACGATATGTGCATCAAATTGATTCATGACGTCAAGCGTAAGTTCAGCTGTTGTATTTTTTTAACAGTGAGGGTAAGGGGGGTAGGCAAGGGTTGGGTTCGGTTGGGATTTAAGCAAGGGTTGGGTTCGGTTGGGAGTTAAGCAAGGGTTGGGTCAGTTGGGATGTAACCAAGGTTTGGGTTGGTGGGTAGGCAAGGGTTGGGTTCGGTTCGGTTGAGATGTAAGCAAGGGTTGGGTTCGGGTTAAGCAAGGATAGGAGGGGGGGGGAGGGGGTTAAATAAGGATAGAGTTAGGGGGTAAACATGGGTAGGGTTGGGGGGGGGGGGTTTAGCATGGATGAAATGTTGTGAACTTATCAGGTTCGCCAATAACTCCGTCTAATGGAGCTAAAATTTGGGAGGGCTGTGAAATCTTCCTGCACAAAATAAACACGTGGTTTAATAAAATTTGGGAGGACTGTGAAATCTTCCTGCACAAAACATGTAGTTTAATAAAATTTGGGAGGACTGTGAAATCTTCCTGCACAAAACAAACACGTGGTTTAATAAAATTTGGGAGGACTGTGAAATCTTCCTGCACAAAACATGTAGTTTAATAAAATTTGGGAGGACTGTGAAATCTTCCTGCACAAAACAAACACGTGGTTTAATAAAATTTGGGAGGACTGTGAAATCTTCCTGCACAAAACATGTAGTTTAATAAAATTTGGGAGGGCTGTGAAATCTTCCTGCACAAAACAAACTGCACAAAACAAACACGTAGTTTAATAAAATTTGGGAGGGCTGTGAAATCTTCCTGCACAAAATAAACACGTAGTTTAATAAAATTTGGGAGGGCTGTGAAATCTTCCTGCACAAAACAAACACGTGGTTTAATAAAATTTGGGAGGACTGTGAAATCTTCCTGCACAAAACATGTAGTTTAATAAAATTTGGGAGGACTGTGAAATCTTCCTGCACAAAACAAACACGTGGTTTAATAAAATTTGGGAGGACTGTGAAATCTTCCTGCACAAAACATGTAGTTTAATAAAATTTGGGAGGGCTGTGAAATCTTCCTGCACAAAACAAACTGCACAAAACAAACACGTAGTTTAATAAAATTTGGGAGGGCTGTGAAATCTTCCTGCACAAAATAAACACGTAGTTTAATAAAATTTGGGAGGGCTGTGAAATCTTCCTGCACAAAACAAACACGTGGTTTAATAAAATTTGGGAGGACTGTGAAATCTTCCTGCACAAAACATGTAGTTTAATAAAATTTGGGAGGACTGTGAAATCTTCCTGCACAAAACAAACACGTGGTTTAATAAAATTTGGGAGGACTGTGAAATCTTCCTGCACAAAACATGTAGTTTAATAAAATTTGGGAGGACTGTGAAATCTTCCTGCACAAAACAAACACGTGGTTTAATAAAATTTGGGAGGACTGTGAAATCTTCCTGCACAAAACATGTAGTTTAATAAAATTTGGGAGGGCTGTGAAATCTTCCTGCACAAAACAAACTGCACAAAACAAACACGTAGTTTAATAAAATTTGGGAGGGCTGTGAAATCTTCCTGCACAAAACAAACACGTGGTTTAATAAAATTTGGGAGGACTGTGAAATCTTCCTGCACAAAACATGTAGTTTAATAAAATTTGGGAGGACTGTGAAATCTTCCTGCACAAAACAAACACGTGGTTTAATAAAATTTGGGAGGACTGTGAAATCTTCCTGCACAAAACATGTAGTTTAATAAAATTTGGGAGGGCTGTGAAATCTTCCTGCACAAAACAAACTGCACAAAACAAACACGTAGTTTAATAAAATTTGGGAGGGCTGTGAAATCTTCCTGCACAAAACAAACTGCACAAAACAAACACGTAGTTTAATAAAATTTGGGAGGACTGTGAAATCTTCCTGCACAAAACAAACACGTAGTTTAATAAAATTTGGGAGGGCTGTGAAATCTTCCTGCACAAAACAAACACGTGGTTTAATAAAATTTGGGAGGACTGTGAAATCTTCCTGCACAAAACATGTAGTTTAATAAAATTTGGGAGGACTGTGAAATCTTCCTGCACAAAATAAACACGTAGTTTAATAAAATTTGGGAGGGCTGTGAAATCTTCCTGCACAAAATAAACACGTAGTTTAATAAAATTTGGGAGGGCTGTGAAATCTTCCTGCACAAAATAAACTGCACAAAACAAACACGTAGTTTAATAAAATTTGGGAGGGCTGTGAAATCTTCCTGCACAAAATAAACACGTAGTTTAATAAAATTTGGGAGGGCTGTGAAATCTTCCTGCACAAAATAAACTGCACAAAACAAACACGTAGTTTAATAAAATTTGGGAGGGCTGTGAAATCTTCCTGCACAAAATAAACTGCACAAAACAAACACGTAGTTTAATAAAATTTGGGAGGGCTGTGAAATCTTCCTGCACAAAATAAACACGTAGTTTAATAAAATTTGGGAGGGCTGTGAAATCTTCCTGCACAAAATAAACTGCACAAAACAAACACGTAGTTTAATAAAATTTGGGAGGGCTGTGAAATCTTCCTGCACAAAATAAACACGTAGTTTAATAAAATTTGGGAGGGCTGTGAAATCTTCCTGCACAAAATAAACACGTAGTTTAATAAAATTTGGGAGGGCTGTGAAATCTTCCTGCACAAAACAAACTGCACAAAACAAACACGTAGTTTAATAAAATTTGGGAGGGCTGTGAAATCTTCCTGCACAAAACAAACTGCACAAAACAAACACGTAGTTTAATAAAATTTGGGAGGGCTGTGAAATCTTCCTGCACAAAACAAACACGTGGTTTAATAAAATTTGGGAGGGCTGTGAAATCTTCCTGCACAAAACATGTAGTTTAATAAAATTTGGGAGGACTGTGAAATCTTCCTGCACAAAACATGTAGTTTAATAAAATTTGGGAGGACTGTGAAATCTTCCTGCACAAAATAAACACGTAGTTTAATAAAATTTGGGAGGGCTGTGAAATCTTCCTGCACAAAACAAACACGTGGTTTAATAAAATTTGGGAGGGCTGTGAAATCTTCCTGCACAAAACAAACACGTAGTTTAATAAAATTTGGGAGGGCTGTGAAATCTTCCTGCACAAAACAAACACGTGGTTTAATAAAATTTGGGAGGGCTGTGAAATCTTCCTGCACAAAACAAACACGTGGTTTAATAAAATTTGGGAGGGCTGTGAAATCTTCCTGCACAAAACATGTAGTTTAATAAAATTTGGGAGGGCTGTGAAATCTTCCTGCAGAAAACAAACACGTAGTTTAATAAAATTTGGGAGGTCTGTGAAATCTTCCTGCACAAAACAAACAAGTAGTTTAATAAAATTTGGGAGGGTTGTGAAATCTTCATGCACAAAACAAACTGCACAAAACAAACACGTAGTTTAATAAAATTTGGGAGGGCTGTGAAATCTTCCTGCACAAAACAAACACGTAGTTTAATCAAATTTGGGAGGGCTGTGAAATCTTCCTGCAGAAAACAAACATGTAGTTTAATCAAATTTGGGAGGGCTGTGAAATCTTCCTGCACAAAATAAACGCGTAGTTTAATAAAATTTGGGAGGGCTGTGAAATCTTCCTGCACAAAACAAACTGCACAAAACAAACACGTAGTTTAATCAAATTTGGGAGGGCTGTGAAATCTTCCTGCACAAAATAAACACGTAGTTTAATAAAATTTGGGAGGGCTGTGAAATCTTCATGCACAAAACAAACACGTAGTTTTAAATTTATTTTAAATCGAGGCACAAACAACGAGACATGAGGTGTGTTATTTTGATCCATCTGAGCAAGGTCTGTTGAAAGTCTTGGTATATCTAGACAAGTAGTCTGTTATAAGTCTTGGTCTCTCTTAGCTCTACCTCCCCAAAAGTTAAGATCTGTTTTAGCTCTACCTCCCCATAAGTTAAGATCTGTTTTAGCTCTACCTCCCCAAAAGTTAAGATCTGTTTTAGCTCTACCTCCCCATAAGTTAAGATCTGTTTTAGCTCTACCTCCCCAAAAGTTAAGATCTGTTTTAGCTCTACCTCCCCAAAAGTTAAGATCTGTTTTAGCTCTACCTCCCCATAAGTTAAGATCTGTTTTAGCTCTACCTCCCCAAAAGTTAAGATCTGTTTTAGCTCTACCTCCCCATAAGTTAAGATCTGTTTTAGCTCTACCTCCCCATAAGTTAAGATCTATTTTAGCTCTACCTCCCCATAAGTTAAGATCTGTTTTAGCTCTACCTCCCCATAAGTTAAGATCTGTTTTAGCTCTACGTCCCCATAAGTTAAGATCTGTTTTAGCTCTACCTCCCCAAAAGTTAAGATCTGTTTTAGCTCTACCTCCCCATAAGTTAAGATCTGTTTTAGCTCTACCTCCCCATAAGTTAAGATCTGTTTTAGCTCTACCTCCCCATAAGTTAAGATCTGTTTTAGCTCTACCTCCCCAAAAGTTAAGATCTGTTTTAGCTCTACCTCCCCATAAGTTAAGATCTGTTTTAGCTCTACCTCCCCATAAGTTAAGATCTGTTTTAGCTCTAACTCCCCATAAGTTAAGATCTGTTTTAGCTCTAACTCCACAAAAGTTAAGATCTGTTTTAGCTCTACCTCCCCATAAGTTAAGATCTGTTTTAGCTCTACCTCCCCATAAGTTAAGATCTGTTTTAGCTCTACCTCCCCAAAAGTTAAGATCTGTTTTAGCTCTACCTCCCCATAAGTTAAGATCTGTTTTAGCTCTACCTCCCCAAAAGTTAAGATCTGTTTTAGCTCTACCTCCCCATAAGTTAAGATCTGTTTTAGCTCTACCTCCCCATAAGTTAAGATCTGTTTTAGCTCTACCTCCCCATAAGTTAAGATCTGTTTTAGCTCTACGTCCCCATAAGTTAAGATCTGTTTTAGCTCTACCTCCCCAAAAGTTAAGATCTGTTTTAGCTCTACCTCCCCATAAGTTAAGATCTGTTTTAGCTCTACCTCCCCATAAGTTAAGATCTGTTTTAGCTCTACCTCCCCATAAGTTAAGATCTGTTTTAG